GGAGCACCCTTGGAGCCCCTTTAGGCATTGGAAGGGGCTCTAAAGTCTCACTGGAGCTTTCTCATCTGCAGGCTGAAGAGAAGACTGAGGAGATACTCAGCCCTCCCCATCTGCTGCCCTTCACACAGCACCATCCACCTGCAGACAAAAATACCCGGTGGGAGCAGGCAGGGATGGAGCTGGGACAGACAGTGCTGGGATCACAGCAATGTGCCCCGGCCAGTTTCGGGTTACACATTGACAAGAGAAGGGGGAGAGAGGGGTCAGGGTGACGCACGACCAGGCAGGGAATTTATAGCAGGACTGCCCGCTGGACAGCCTCATCCTGACGTGCTCCTGGCAGCAGCAGCTCTCTGGGACATGGACACACTGAGACTTTTGGGATCAGAGCTGTCTCCAAAAGGCCAGGGCCAACTTCCAGTAGGATTTGTCAGCCTGGCAAGCTTGTACTCCCCAGGAAGGTGTGGGAAGTCAAATGGGGACTGTAAGAAAGACGAAGACAAACTTTTAAGCAAGGCCTGTGACAGTACAAGGGGTGATGGATTTAAACTAAAAGAGAGGAGATTTAGTTTGGATACGAGGTAAAAGTTTTTATAATAAGGGTGGGGAGGTTCTGGCACAGGGTGCCCAGAGAAGCTGTGGCTGCCCCTAGATCCCTGGAAGTGTCCAAGGCCAGGCTGGATGTGGTTTTATATCAGCAGTTTTATACCATCACATCCACTTCAAAGCGCCAAGAAGCACCTGGATAGCCTTGGAAACACAGCCACGCTGGGATGGGATAAAGGGCAGACACCGAGCCCTGCTCCAGATGTGCTCACATCTGGTCACATGCAATCAGAGAAGGAGCAGGAAAGCTGCCAGTTCCTGGAGGAAGAGAAAGCCCATAAAGCTGCCAAGCGTCCCTGCTCAGGGATATTTACACTTTCAACATGTTCTCATGGAAATTAATCCCAGGCTCACCCCTGCAGGTATGGTAAACATGAGAAGCGAGGAATGGGGAGAGGCCAGGACAGCGGGGCAAGGGGAACAAAGCTTTTTGGGTGTACCAGCCTTCCCCAAAATGTGGTGGAACAGGCCCAAGCAGGACGTGGCAGGGCTGCTCGGGCTCCCTCGCAGCCCGGCCGGACCTCCAGCCCCCCGCAGCCATCCGAGTCCTCCCACCCCACTGGGACCTGGAGGAGGCTGATTCCATCCCCTGGGCTCCCCGACAGCTCCCTCGAGGTTTCCTCAGCCCATTAAATTAAGCAAGCACCAAAGAGGAGTTTTTAATTCCACCGGGGAAGGGCAAAGCATGCAAGAAGCAAGGAATTCTGCGCATGGGGAAAAAATGCATGGTGCCCTGTGAAACTTATTTTCCCCCATCCGTAGAATTCTGTGCTTCCTGCGTGCTTTATGAATCTTGTCCTTCCCAACCCGTATATTTTCTTTCCTCTTTTTCTCTATATTTTAATACTTTATGTTTTTCTTTCCTGGCGAAAAGCAGTGAGCAATGCCAGCCTCTGAGCTGTCACCTGTCCCCTGCCCGTGGCTGCAGGAGCGCTGTGATCCTCATTCCCATGGCACCCCCACGTGGGGAAAGCCTGGAGGCTCCCAGCCTGGCGCTCTCCTTTCCACGGAGGGAAGGAAGGAAGGAAGGAAGGCTGGAAACACCTCGTTCAGTGCCACCATGAGCTTGGAAGACCTGGAAGGAACACTCAGAGCAGAATTGTGGATGTCAGATAATGTCAAACTCAATTTCTGGCTTCGCCTGCTCCTGGGAGCAGTCAGGAGCATTATGGACATTATGGATAATTGTTCCAGATAATTTTGTCCTTTCTTTATTTTTTATTCGTTATACTTTTACTCACTTTTTCATTTTCTTTTTTTTTCCGTTATTTTATTCTTATCTAGGTATGATCTTAGATGAATTTTCCAATATAAATGAATTTATGATTCTATGTGCTTGTCTCTCTCTATGTGCGTGTCTCTCTCAATCATTATATCCATTAAGCTTTTCATTACTTATATATTCATTTAAATATAAAATAAATTCCTATACATTCATATATATCCACATATAATACAAAATAAATATTCCTATACAAGAGAGCTGAGGAGGGACTTTGGACAAGGGATGGAGGGACAGGACAAGGGGGAATGGCTTCCTACTGCCAGAGGAAAAGGATGGGATACTGGGAAGGAATTCCTGGCTATGAGGGTGGGGAGACCCTGGCACAGAAGAAGTTGTGGATCCCTGGAAGAGTCCAAGGCCAGGTTGGACACTGGGGATTGGAACAGCCTGGGCTAGTGGAAGGTGGCCCTGCCATGGCAGGGGTGGAACAAGATATTTTTTCAGGTTCCTTCCAACTAAACCATTCTGGGATTCTATGACACTCCTAAACATTCATATTTGCTACAATTAAATATCTTACATTCCATATAAAAAGCTGAATTCCCTGGAGGAAGCTGCTGCGCTGTCAGCCCCCTCCCTCCACAGTCTCTACTGGCAAACCCTTCTGCCAGGAGCGCTCCTGTGCGTCCAGAGGGCAAAATCCTCAACACCAGGGAGCAAACCCTTCTGCCAGGAGCGCTCCTGTGCGTCCAGAGAGCAAACCCTTCTGCCAGGAGCGCTCCTGTGACACCAGTGGGCAAAATCCTCAATACCAGGGAGCAAACCCTTCTGCCAGGAGCGCTCCTGCCAGCCCAGGGGGCAAAATCCGTGGCTGGAGAAGCCGCTGTGCCAAGGCTCCGGCAGCTGGAGCTGCCTGGTGCGTTAATCACGGGCCCAGCGCGGGTTCCAGCTCGCCGGATTCCGCTCGGAAGCACGTCCTGGCAGCCAAAAACCCTCCAACACATCGTGGTTTTGTGCTTGAAAAGGTTTAAACCCCTGCAGGGATTAAATTCAGGAGTGAAGAATGAACAGGCACGATAGGACAACGCAGCAGCCGTTTGGGAACCGGGATCCAGCGCGTTGCCTTTGCCTGAGGATGGGAATCAAGGGAGCTCCATTCCCTAAAGTTCCTCTCTAAATTTATGAAATGAAATGAAATGAAATGAAATGAAATGAAATGAAATAGAATGAAATAGAATGAAATAGAATGAAATAGAATGAAATGAAATTAAATAAAACAAAAATTAAATTAAATGAAACAAGATAAAATAAAGGTCAATAAAATAGAAAATAATTATTGATGTAGTGGAAGGTGTTTCTGCCCATGGCAGGGGATGGAACTGGATGATCTTTAAGAGTGCCTTCCAACCCAAACGATTTGGGAATCCATGAGACTCAACTGCCTTCAAGTCCTCCAATAAGAAAGGAGAAATCAAGGGATAAAGGCTCAGGATAAGCTGAACTCCAATTATGCTGTGAAAACAAGTATTTTGATAAAATATACAACACTTAGACACTTATACTATTGACTTTTTGATAACCTTTATTTCACATCCTTTTTTCCCCTATTATCAGCACTATTATTAAGATGTGGAAGAGCCATGGGCAGCTACAAGAGGCAGCTCCATCAGGATTTATCATCCCAGATACAAAATCCTCCAGGATTCAAGTCGAACTTGCAGCACTCCATGAGTCAGGCTTCAGGGAATCTGTGGTCAAACAGATAAAACATAATTATTCATGGAAGAATACAAGCAAATAGTGGAAAAACAACTGCATCATAAGGGAGGATGATACATCTGCCTGTAGGCCTGGTACCTAAAATGCTTCTCAGTCGTGCATGCAGAAGTCTGGACATGATTTTTTAAAAAACCTGGGCTAGTGGAAGGTGTCCTTGCCCTTGGCAGGGGGGTGAAACTGGATGAGCTTTAAGGTCCCTTTCAGCCTAAACCATTCCAGGATTCCATGAAGGGCTGCACATGCAGATGCCATCCCCTTGCAGCCCTAATAGATGAAATATTTTTTCACAGCATCTGCTGATGCACCAGATCTCACTAACCATTTCAAATTTTCCCGGGGAGAAAGAGTTAAGGCTAATTAGCAGCACTAAATAAACTAATAGCTGGAGGGGAAAGCAGAATTCAAGTTGCATTTTAGTTTTAAAGGTGGTTAAAGCGTCTTTAAAGGCGAGGGGTCATTTTCTGGGAGCTGGAGCAAAGCAGCTCATCAATAATGAAAGAGCTGGCGATGGAGCAGCGGCAGCACCGCTGGAGCGCTTGGGAAAATGCAATTATGGGAATGGCCGGATGCTTTGCAAACTGCCCCAGTAATTTGCCTAAGGGAAACAGCCAAATGCACGTTAATATTTCAAAGATTTCGTTGCAGCAGAACTAATTAGCAAAGGCCAGGAATTTCAGTGATGAGGACGGGGGTTAAAACCCCAAAAGTACTTCTGATCAGGGGTGTTTAATTCACACTCAGCGAAACATGACAGGGCTGGGAGCATCATTCTGCCTCCTGGGCTCTCTGCATCTGCAATGCTCAAGAGTTCAGCTTTGTTTTATTTTCCTTTGGTTAAAACCAACCCCCTGCAAAGGCTCGTGTCCGGGTGCTCTGCTCCCCGTGTGCTGCCCTTGGGACGCACCAAACCCTTCATGTACCCCCTTATGCTAAACCCCAAATCCTTCGTGTACCCCCTTGTGCAAACCCCAAACCTTTTGTGTACCCCTCTGTGCATCCCCTACACAGCCCTGCACCCTCATTGTGCACCGCATGCACACTCCATACACACCCCCATTGTGGACACCCATGCACGCCCCGTGCACACCCCACTGTGCACACACGTGCACACCCTTGCACACCCATGGCATGTAGATTTCTATCTAATTTTCAAATAATTAGGGCATATAATTTTTTTTTGTTTTACTGATTAAATAACCTCAAAGCAGTGGGTCGGGATTTTTAATTTTTTTTTTTTTTTTTCTTTCCTTCCTCCTTTCATTTTTTTTTTTTCCTCTCCGCCACCCCACCGCGTCTTTTCTCTCCCCGCTCTCCCTCCGCCGCCTCCTTTCCCTCGCCGCTCCGCTGCCCGTGAGGAAGAGGCGGCCTCCCCCCGCCATCCCTCCCCGCCTCCATCCCTCCCTCCCTTCCTTCCCCGCTCCTCCCGCCGACCGGGACTCGCCCCGAACCGGGAGGGAGACGGTCTCTGCCCGCTCCTCCTCCTCCTGCTGCTCCTCCTCCTGCAGCGGGGGCCGCATCCTGCTGCCGGGGGGGAGGGAATTGATGTGGATACCCAGCGCAGCACCACCACCATGCAGCCGCCGCCGAGGAAGGTGAGACCCCCGCCCGGCGCAGGGGGGCTGTGCGCGGAGGGGCCGGGGGGCGGCTGAGGGTGGTTCTGAGGGGCGGCGGCGTGGGCTGGGGTGCGCTCGGGGTACGGGGGGATGCGGGGGTCCGAGGCCGCGGGGAGGGGGGCTCAGGGTGGGGGAGGCTGCAGGGAGGTTCGGAGAGGGAGCGCGAGTGTTGGGAAGGGAGTGGGGGGTGCGGCGGCGAGTTGGGGGCCGGGGGCGCTTTGGCGAGGGTGGCCCTGCAAGGTGGGTCGTGAGGAGATGTCGGGGGGTGCTGCGGGCTGGGCACGGCTGGGCGCTGGGGTGGCATGGGCTGGGAGCGAGCTGCGGAGGTCGGACAGGGCAGGGATGGAGGTGCAGGGGGGCAGCGCTCCGTCAGGGAGCCCCCTCTCCAGCGGGGGCTCTCCGGAGGGACACGGAGGGCTGGGAGGGGGCAGCGACTGCCGAGGGCTCGGCTGCACGGAGCCGCTGGGGTCGTGCTGCTCGTGGGGTGTCTGCCGCGGGGATTTTGGGGGCTCGTGTGGCGCCAGCAGCGAGGGCTTGGTTGTCTTGGGGAAGAAGGTCACGTCTGGAGTTGATCCAGGGACGCAGCCTGTCCCGGCGTGTGCCAGGAGCGCACAGGAGCGCACAGGAGCAGGGGCAGCCGGAATTGTGCGGCGTTTTCCCTCGCGGCCGTCCCCACGTGCGATGGGAACGAGCTGAGGATGCTCCGGGGAGGCTCTTCGGTGACCCTGCGGGCCGTGGGAAGGTGGGGTGCTGCCCACCTTGGGGACTGGTGTGGCAGCGGAGGCAAGCGGGAATGGAAATTTGGGATAAACGCTGTGCCCGGTGTGGCTTGTCTGGCTAGGCAGGTTGGTATCTGGGAGACCTGAGCTGCCTTCAGCTGCTCCGTGCTGGTTTTTGGGCGCGTTTTGGGGGCTGCGGGGAGGATGGATGGATGGATGGATGGATGGAGAGGATGGAGAGGCTGCTCCTGTGCGGGCAGGAGTTCCGTGGGGCTGGGAGCCGTGCCTGTTCCATGTCCCCGCTCTGGGGTGCCCTGGCTGTGGTGGTCTGCAGCCCCATGGAGATTTTCCCTGTGGGATTTCTCCGTGGGGAGAGGAGATCGCCCAGTTGTGCGCCTGGCAGAGCCCTGCCACAGTGACCAGGAGAGGAGGGAACGTGAGCAGGATTCCCTTTGCCATGCCCAGAGCTCCCCAGCAGCCCTGGCAGGCAGCTGCAGTGAAGGTCTCTCATTCCTGCCTCCCAGCCTCTTATTTTAGGGGGCTGACTCTGCTTTTGTCAAACAAAACCAATTTAATCTCAATCATTTCAATTTATTTTATTAATTTTCTTTGCCTGTGCTATTTCATTTGAGGTTATTTCCATCACCCGGCTTCTGTGGTGTGGGTTTATTTATTTTGAGTTGAGCTTTTTTTTATATACAGATAAAACCAAAAATGCTGAAAGTTCGCGTTGAAAATAGACGCTTTTTCTGCTTAAAGTCAGGGGCATACATGTGATTTATTTTTCTGGTGTCATGTGAAAAGCTTGTCTTTATGTGATGTTGTGATTAAAGGGTGCTTGTTGCTGGGGCATGGTTTTCAGAGTTAAAATAGGGAAGCTGGTGAGATCCGGGATTTTATTTTTTTTTTTGCCTGGCTAGTGAAGAAGAGGGAGATGGGTGCCCTCTTCCTCTGTGAATTTCTCGTCCCTGTGCAGTAACAGTTTGGCATTTCTGTCCTCATGAATGCATAATGTGTTCAGAGATATTGGTGATCGTTTTTTAGGCCGATATGTGGATTCCCTGTGATCACTAGAGGGCTTAAATACCAAGACCTCTTGTTTAATAAAAAACAAGAACAAAACAATTCCAAGGTTCCCTTCCAAAATCAAATCGTTCCCAATACCTGGGCCATTGGTGTTCTCTGCCAGTTACCAAGCAGGTTCCCAAAGTATTGGAATTTTAGCTGTGCAGGATCACAAGGCTCAAAGGAAAATTACAACGGTACTAAAAATGTAAAGCCAACCTTCTGAAACCTTTCCCAGTTTGTTTGTTTGTTTTCTTGTTGAAATGTGACTAGAACTACAGAAAATATAAGTGGTCCTTGGGTTTGTTTGTTTGCTTTCCTGATGAAATGTGACTTAAATGACAGGAAATATAAGTGGTCCTTGGGTTGGTTTGTTTGTTTTCTTGTTGAAATGTGACTTGAGCTGCAGAAAATATAAGCGGTCCTTGGGTTTGTTTGGGTTTTTTGTAGGTGAAAGTTACACAAGAGCTGAAAAACATTCAGGTTGAGCAGATGACAAAACTTCAGGCCAAGCATCAGGCAGAATGTGACCTACTGGAAGATATCAGGTAAGGCTACAGAAAGTGTTACCAAAATTCCTTTAAGGTCCAGTTTTTGGAAGAACATTTGAGTTACAAAATTCAGGAACTGACGATGGAATTTCCTCTTTGGATTTCCTGCTTTTAGGCTGTTAAAGTTTTGACACAGCTGGAAATTATAACTGGAGCTAACACAATGCAAACCCTTTTTTTCTTCTCTTCAATGGGGGAATGTTAAAAGAAACTCACAAACAACATCCAAAAAGCACTGGTCTTTTCAGCAATATTTATTTACATAATATACTGAGACTTTGATTTACCAGTTGTAAAAGGCTGCTAAAATTACTAAAATATTTTAAAGCCATTGATGATTTATGTCTCTCTAGAGATAGCTTTGAAAAGCGCTTTCAAGCAGATTGCATTTTTTTACCAGAAATTTACAAGAAGATATTTGCATTTATAATTTAAAACTCTGCATGGGTTCAAAACAATGGAGAAAATCCACACAACATCAGTCATGGGGGTTTCATGATTCCTTTTACCTAATGTGATTTGCTTCTCCTGAAATTAAAGGTTTGCTTTTAACAAAATAGGGTGGGAGTGGGTACCTGGCATTATATGGAGGATTAATCATTCAATTTCCTGTGAAATATTCAGCAGAAGTCCATTGCTGCCCTGCTCCTTTTGGCAGTGGATAGTCCACATGTTAATTATTTAAATGAGATTTCCTGCTTGATGTTTGTATATTAAATGCAAGTGTTTGGCTTTGACAGATGAAGTTCTGTTTGTCCCACTGTCAGCGTCCTCCATAAATCAGAATGTCAAGGCTGGAGCCCTTTCATCCCCTTGTTTTTTGGGTGCTGAAACACTTTTTTTTTTTTTTTTCTTTTCCTATGGGAAAGATCACAGTGTTCATTTTCTCAGATTAAGATTATTCTGGGGAGTGTGTAACATGCAAATGCTGAGTAATAAGTAACAGGCTGATCCAAGGAATTTTCCCCCCTTAGATGGAAACTTATTTTTAGAGCATCTAGGTTGGGTACTGCTGCTCTAGCCCAGGTTTTGTTGGCACTTGCTATTTTTCAGGAGCTTATGATCACTTCAGCCTCTATTCTGCTGAAAGATGTCATAAGCCTGTGGATACAAACCCAGGAAAATGTGAAAATGCCAGCTTAAAATATCTTCTTTTAATGTAATTTAATTTCTGCAGTTAATTAAATTTCTGAATTTGAATGTTGGGGATTAGGAAGCTGGGTTAATATGTTTAATTCGTTCCCGTGGTCACTGAGTGTGTTCAGCACTGTGTTTGCAGCACTGCTGTGTGGATTTACAGATTAAACATTCTTTTAGTGTGGCATGATGAGATGGCAGCTCCGTGGTGTCAGTGATTTGTTCCAATATCAGCAAGAGAACCAGAACCATGGGAATTGGGGGTTAAAAGCATTTGCTGAACAAGCCCTGATCTTGGTGTGTGATGCAGAGGCCTTTGGATTGGGAAGGGGGGAAGGTTTGGGGGCTCCGTGGTGTTGGTCAGGGTGTGATGCTCCTGGGGGAGTTTGGGTGTCAACCTCACCCCAATATCCCATCATTTATGGCTGGATTCAGGATATGCAGCCACCGTGGTTCCAGAGCATTGCAGAAAGCTGGAACCACACACAGGATCTTTCTGTCTCTGGAAGGAAGGTTTGTTTTTACAGAAAGCACCCTGCTGTTATCCCAAAGTGTGGAATTTGAGCAGAGTGCCGTTTGTTTATCAAGACTCAGAGGAGTTTGGGTCCTTTGGTAGCGTTTTTGGAGCTGTTGGGCACTGCAGGAGCACAACTTTGCGCTCAGAATTCCAGAAACTGAAGTGCTGCAATGGCAACAGGAAACACTGAATCAGGGCTTGCAAACCAGTGATTAAAAATGCATGTTTGAAAAAGTTACTTTATTGTGAATAATTGCTTCGTTTGTTGGCACATAAATGCAGGCATTCAAATCACATTTTTTTTTATCTCTTCGGTTGGGTTTTATGTGCAACTAAAGAGAAGTGATAGGAGGAAAAGATCAGAAAGTTCTCCAGCAGAATACATCTATTGTCTGGTGTATTAGCAGATGATTTTTGGCAGCCTACCAGCCCATAAAGCATGCTTGCAGTACCAGCAGCTTTGATATCTTTATGCAAAACTGGGGATTCTTGGTCAGGGTTGAGGTACATGTGTGTAACTACCCTTTTTTTTTGGATGGCTTTTGACCCTATGTAAAATTCTAGTATTTATTTTAAAAAATACTGAATGTTTTCAAACTCTGTTGTTTCTCTGTGGAAGCTCAGTAGCATTAAGCTGAAGTCTCTTTGACAAGACTCTAATAAAGAATGTGTTTGAAATGTGTTAGCAAATAGATTTAAAATACATTTTTGTGTTTATAATCTCTGTTTGGTCTTCATGTTGCATTTCTTCATGCTCAGTGACTGGGGAATTTGGGGAGCAAGTGATTCAGGATGCTTTTAGGGTCTTTGGCTTACTTTTAGGCATGACATGTGTTTATCTTCTGTAGTTCACTAAAGCTATCTCAGGCCTTCATGTGGGAGATCTGTGTTGGCATTACCATAAAAAAGGTTGTCTTTCTGCCACTGGGATGGAGAAAAAGTTTTTTTCCTTGACAGGTAAATGTAGGTTTTGTTGCTGTGATCTAGAAACCCTTCAACATTTATGGCAAGGAGTCCCTCACTCCATCTACACTGGCTGCTTTTAGGCAGTGAGTTAATTATTTTTTTTGCTGGGCTGTGACTGGCTGAATGTATCAGAGATGTTAGTAATATTCATGTATTTTATTTTGGTTTTAAGACTGCCTTATTTGACTGATGGTAGTAAGTAAGTCACAGCCAGGGTCTGCAAATGCTCTTGGTTTGCTGGGACACAGGGATGCTTTCCTTTTGTAGGTGTACCAGTGCCTGCAGAATTCTAAAGAACCCTGTATGATTCACATTCTAATTCAGCTTGGCATTTCTGTGAGGTATTTATGTGCTACAGACTTTATAAACTCATTAAGTGATAATTGCTTTACATTAAACATTGGGTCTTGCTTTTTCAAAGGCTTGGGGTCTGCTTTTCCAAAGCACTTGTTATGCCTTTTCAGGTTTTGCTGAGGTATCCTAAGATGTCCTTTCTAAAACTTTTGTGTCTTCACATTTGTGTTTTGCTAGAGAGTATGAAGTTGTGCTTATGTGTCTGTTTTAACTTTAGTCTGGACTAAAGATGTAGGGCCAGGTCCACTGGCACAACTAATTCTGCTGCAGCACAGGGTGGGTTAGTTCTGTAGATCAGGGAGCTCACCCACCTGAAATCAAACCTTCCCTGGCTTTTCTCCCAGGTTTTTTGGTAAATCCAGTCCCTGGTCCAGTGTGGCATGGGAGGGAGGAGGAATGATGAGTACCTGAGGGAGGAGAGGGAAAGCAAAGCTGCTCAACAGCAGCCCAGGTTCACACGGGTTTAAAGTCACTGTGTAAGCCCAGCCTGATGCCCCTGTAGAAGGCACAGCTGCTGCTTTGTGAGTTACAGCTCTGGAAAATTCACCTCAATTAAGTCTTAACTCGTTTTGGCTGTCTGGATGTGCTGATCTACATTGCTTCATCCTTTTAAGTAATTTGAAATGAGATGTAAAGATTGCCTGATTTCTGGCTGAGAAGGAGTAACAAAACAGTCCTTTCATTTGTTGGCTCCTGAGTTTAGTTTTTTCAGAGTTTTTTCACATTCATAATTTAAAAGGAATTGCCAAAAAGACAGGCTCACAATCTACTTGTGCAACTGATAGAGATGTGAATCTATGTACAAATACTTCCTTCTGTTTCCTTCCCTCTTCTGTCCTTGTGGTTTCTGCCTCCTGACATGTTCCTTTTGATAAAGCTGCATTTCTCTGTGTTATTCACCTTTCTTTCTGCTGCTTGCCTTTGTGGGGTGTCCTTGTGGGTCCCTTCCAGCTCAGAATATTCTGTGATTTTCTATCTTCAACTCTCTCCTCCAAAGCTCTGCCTCCTGACCATTCCTTCTCCCTTCCAATTTGTCAACTTATTTTTTTGTTTTTTTTTCCTCCCAGGTGCTTCATCTCCTCCCTTTCTTTATCCAGTTCTGACCTTGTGAATTTTAATAAGTTCTCTATTCCTCAGATTCTTTCCTATTTAATGTGCAGCAGAGCCACAGAAGATGTGTTAAGCCAAGTGGGGAGATCTTGTGGCTCTTCCTTCCCAATGTGAGCCCTTCCCCGTCTTGGATGCTGTTGCTGGGCCGTCCCTCCTGCAGGTTGTGAGGGAAGCAGTAATTCCAGGGCAGGATTTGTGGTTTTGTGCCCAGGATGAGGACAGAGAACTCCTTCGATGCCTCAGCCTGTCACAACAAGCCAGAGCGAGCAGCAGAGATATTTAAAAAAAGAAAGTAAAAGTATGAATGAATTTACATCTGTAGCCAGCCAGTTCCTGCTCGTTTTAACATGTCATTTTCTCTGCTCAATTATGCTCCGTGGAGGCTTTTGCTGTTGGATACACTTTGTACTCCCTGGTGGAATTTGTGCTCCTGGAATCTGGCTGGCTGTGTTGGCAGGTTCCTGATAAGGTTTATGGCAGCTGGGGCTGAGTCTGGAGTAGAGACCAGCAGCAGTTCCAGTTTTAAATACAGCAAATCTACAAGATCCCTTAAAAGATTCTGTGTTAGGGAAGAGCCTCGTGGAGCTGTGGAAGGAGGAGCAGATGGAGAAAAAAGCTGTAAAATAATATGCATTTACATGTGTGTGTAGCCATATGTATTAGAATCCAGTAAGAGATTCTGCATAATTTTGGGAAATCTCTGCTTTTCCTGCCCCCAGGCACGGTGGTGGTGAGGAGTTTGCCTTTCTTCCTGTTCTTTCCAGTCTCCAGCTGCAGGGAATGCAATTTATTTGGGTATTCCTGAACCTGGGCTCCAGAGCTTGTTTGCCTCTGGCTGGTGGTATCTGATAAAGCCCCTTTTTAAAAAATTCATCTATCCACGAGCAGGTCCATCTCTTTTTTCTCTTTATCC